GTAGGCTGTATTATCTGGTAATAAATGCCATTAAAATTTCACATCGTGCATGTTATAAATTTCGTTTCAACCTTAGTTTGAAGGTATAGACCCATTAGAGCTTAATTAAAGGATCATTTTACTTCTCTTGTTTTTAAAGATCACTAAACCTGAATCTTCCGATCTTTAAGGACATTTTCTACAGCTTCAACTTATTGCTGGCCACATGGTTCGTTTATAGAATACATCTAGCCATCGTCTATTAATAATGATATATTATCTATTATAAACGAAAACCCACAATTGTCTGACCCTGTCCATTAGTTTGCGGGGGTTGGTGTTTACATTTACATTACCGGAACAATATAAACGAAATTGACGCAAAAAGGGAAATTTCAATTTTGCAACAATTCACCTTCGCCTCATCTAATGGTAGTAAATTTTATTCAACACGAGGGTAAAATACGAGCGCCGGCACGATCTCGCGACTTTTAAGTAGTAAAATTTAACTACCCTCAGCGGAAGCCGGTGGCATCAAAAGAGAAATAACCACTACTGTTAGCGATTTTCGCTAAATCACACCTTTTAGCGATTGGAAGGGTCGAAAGGTGCCATTTAGTGCATCGTAACAATAACGATAATGGCCGTAGCCATTACAAATTTGTGCCATAATTAAATAGTTTAGAGGATAATGAAATTAAGTCGAGATCGTTAGGGAAATCCTTTAAATATGTGGCATTAAACAATATGTGCGGTTAATACTGAAATAGGACCGTACGTATTTGCACAACGCGAAATGTAATGGTCAATGTTTGGCCAAGAACCGTATACTAAGAGTGCAAATAGGACTAAGCGGAAACGCCCAGATTAACTTATCGAATTTGTCTCTCTTTGCCTAAAGCTTACCTCGAACTTGCTGCAATTGATTACTTTTTGCAGTAACAGTGGGTGGTAAACCCCACTCACGTGAGTCTGCTGGGTGAATATTGTTTTTGTTTTTATGATTGGTTGAATTTAGACCGAGTTCAAGTCGAGCTTTATGTGTAAGGAAAAACACAAAACTACTGGTCACATGAAAATAGAAGTCTGTTTTTAATTTATATTACTAATTAGAGGTTGAATTTCAGTAAACGCTCAAAATTTTACTTGTGCACGTTTTGACTGGGATAAAGGATCGTTAAACTGACATATTAAAGTGGCAAAACGACAGCACATCACCGTATGCTGAGCCCTAAGCGTCAAAATCAAATTACCAACCCCTGTTCAAATATGCCTTGTGTGCTTATACACACACAACACACACACACACACACACTATCTGAATACGAGATCAAGTTCCGCAAAATACTAGTAGTACGTAATGAGACTAACCTCCAGAGGAATTATGGTGATCTCAAGTGAGAGTTCCGGCGATAACGGAACAGATAAGTACACAAATTAGAGCTTTAGTACCCCAAGTTAAAACAACCTCACAATTATGAAATTCCATTTCTCTTTGAAGGGGCGCTATTATGTGTAGAGTGAACGGAAAGTTTTAATGAACAAGCAATGCTAATTTGATACTACTATCTTGTACTATACACGTCGTTAGAACAAAATAACCTACTTAGATAATTAAATATTGATTATGTTAGCAGAATACGAATGTATGTACACGCTACGTTTCTGCAGTATGAAATTTCTTCCAATAATTGTGCACGAGAGTAATATCACTTGGAAAGGTATTATAAGGACGATGCTCGAATAATTCATCATCCAAGCTTTACCGGTTGCGGTTTATATCAAAGATGGGATTTAATAATTCACATTCATGTATCGATCAGTGGCAAGCAAACATTTAGAACAAAAAACAGAATGCGAAATCTGTGAATATGAAACCTATAAATGTGATAGTAGGTTTATTTTATACAATCAATACTATCATTAGATCATGAAGAAATAGCCAATAGAAACAAAGAGATGGTTTCGTTGTTTAGCGACGCACAATAAACCTTTGATTCTATTGGCTATTTCTTAATGATCTAATGATAGCAATGATTGCATAAGGCCCTCCATTATTCACCAAAATACAATTTCGACTTGATGATGATCCAGGAAAGTTATTGGAAACACTTTCGAACTTTGCCATAACAAAAATTAACATCTCAGGCTTTGTAATTAGATAAACGCCTATACACTAAAAACACAAGGAGAAATGTCACCTCTTCAGAGGGAAATTTTTTTATAGAAACGCATGTTTTGTTAGAATTTTTGAACGATTTCGCGGGCCTCTCCGCTGCACTATTACACCCTTTCCCTTTTCTCTCCACAAACGCTGAAATCTCTGGTAAAAGAAGGTCTTCTTCGAGACTCTAAAGAATCATCTTAGAAAAATCTTTCAAAAAGTCATACACATTTAAGAACATTCGTCCTTTTAGAAGAGTTTCTTCGAAATCTTGTAAATTTTACCCTTATTTCCTGTTATGAAATTGTTTTCAAGAATCTTCATAGAGCTTCGACACATACTTCGTAGGTAAAGATCATTTCGCAGGTCATGTCTACCTAAAAAATTATTATTGAGAACCCTAAACTACTTTTGAAATTTTGCTAGAACTCTTAAAAACCGCTTAGAATGTCCTTAGCGTCCTTAAACGTTTTTGGAAACAGTATAGTTTGCTTAGAAATATTTCGTGGAAGAATCTTTTTGGACGTTTGAATTCATAGGAATGGTCATTTCTTATTGGAAGTAGGAAAACTTGGTAAATGTCGTTTTAAAACGTCAGTAATAGATTTTAACCTCGAAATGATGTTTGAAACCTTCAAAATTTAACGATGTCTTCAAACTCCCGTATTTGCAGAACCCTTTTAAACTATCGTAAACTTGTACAGATGTGATGGAACGTAACAAAAATTGATACCATTTTAAAATATCACAAAACTCTTTGGTTAAACCCCTGTCAAATATAATAAAAGTTTCATGATAATGTGAATGGGAGGGCACGTCTCGATTTGGCCATGAGAAACGACTTGTTTCGTTGAGGGACTGTAATAAAAAGTATTTAATTATAATTAGCAGGGGTGTCCACCTATTTTTTGGGTTATTATGTTTTAAAACCAAAATCGAATGTGAAAAGATTGGAACAAAAACCAATACCCAAAACGAAACTTTATGTTTACAAGTTGCTTAATGAGTATTGAATTCTTAGTATAATTATGATCGACGTGGATAGCTCATTCCATACAGGGTGGAAATTTGGTCTAGAACACTGAATGTACGCTCAACACAAAGTTTTTAAGGTCTTGGCTCCAACATTATAAAAAGTTTGCTACTTCTGCATGGTCAAGGCATTTTTTTAATGGTAACACTACTAATTTTCATTACACATTATTAAAGAGTACACTTTTTTGCATATAGCAGCATAAAACATGTGCACTTTAAGAATATATAGTAAACAATACTGGTTACTAGAGGGGTTGCTATTTAAAAAAATATGCTCCTTTGACCATGCAGAAGTACGCCACTGATCACAATTTAAGTAGATTCGTAGCAAACTTTTTCTAATTTTGGATACCATAAAAAAGCTTCTTGAATAATTTAATTAATCATTACGTTAATATTTGGTTAAATATGCGATATGTTTGCCTTTACTCTCGCCTTTACTAGATGAATCTTTGGTTAAAATTTCAAAAAATCTCTATAAATAAGTTGACATTGCGCAATGCGCAAAAAATTGAGAACGAACATTTTCGAAAAAGTTCTAAATGTCGCTTTGAAGTTCGTAATTGTATTTCCAACTTCAATGACCTGTGATTAAGGTCAATACGCAACACTTTCCTTAGTCTATACTGAACTTTTGGACTAGACGTTAGGAGGTAGTTCAATCACTACATGAAATGATATCTATATCATGCCAAAGGGCGCTTTCACTCTGGGTGGCGGTTGCCACCCTATCTCGGGGGTGGTAATTTTTTATTGTAATTTTAACACAGGAATAGATAGAAAAATTAATTCTAAGCAAAAAGTGTTCTATATATTTTTTTGAAAAGCTAATACTTCTCAAGTTTATTCGCGACCGAAAGTATGAGTTTTTCATAGAAAAGATCAATAATTGGTTATTCGCGAAAAACTCGAATAGTATGCATTTTATAAAAAATCTATGGAGAACAAAAACGTAGCTTTTAAAAAACAAAGAAAACGGTTTTTTAATACTTGCTGTATGACCAATACGAACCGAGTTATGGTTTATTAGAGGGTAGCTCTTGTTCGTCAAACGCTAAATTAGAGAGTTTCACAGTCAGATAACGGCAAAACTATGCATTTTTCGAGAAATAGAATATTCTTTAAAATATTTAAACAAACCGTTCTTCTTTTTTTAAAAAACAAACTTTAGAATAAAAATTAAGTGAGTTACGATGAAAATAATGTAGATCCGTACTTTTTTCACCTTTGGACAAATCAGTGCAAGCTAGCCCCTAATTACCACCCTAATTAAAATTAATCCTTCCTCTTTTCCAGTTTTTTCTAATTACGTATTATTGGTACATTCTAAAAGTGTGACCAGTTTAAGAAGACTTCATTTCGAAATACCTAATTCAAGCTAAAAGTGAAAAACGAATTTCTGCAATTTTGTGAAAAACGTCCTTCTGTTCAAAATAACTACAAAACAACTGGAGATATGTAAAAATTGCTACAGCATCCAATTGTAGCATTTTTAATTCTTAAAATTTTCCTCGCCGGGAATTTTGTGTACGACGAGAATTAAGTGAGATATGCACGTTTTGTATGGGAGCACTACTTTATTTTAGCCGTTTAGACTCACCCCATTTTAAAACTCTTAAAGGGATTTGATATAAAGAGCCTTGTAGCAAAAATCTACAAAATGATTTTTTTTAACAATTTCTATCATCAAAAATAAAGGAGTTATTATTAACTTTTTGAGAGTAAATACTTTTTTTCTCATTAAACACAATAAGGATTGATTTTGAAGGGCTGAAATATTGTGAAATAATGTTTCAAAGCTTCTAAAGTTCGTTCACCCAACAGAAATAGTTAAGCCCCTCCTCAACAATTACCGCCACATTTGAATACGACATTGTTATTGGTGTAATTTTTGAAGCCACAATCACACTTGTAAAGCGAATTGGCCGAATTGGGTAATCTGTCATCTTGCCTATTGCGTTTCTGCCGGTTTTTACGTTTTTACATCTTTACTTGCGTCAATTTGCCATTAATCTCCTTTATTCACACAAAATAGTCTTTATAAAGACTCGTCGGTGTATTCTAAAGATAGTCAGGTGAGTAATTATAAAATTTTAAGTATACACGATTTTTACATGCCTGTTTTTAGGGTTATATTATTCGCGATCAAGAAAAGTTGTACGCAAACATGAATGTCGCCGGTGCTGCTTTCTCTCCACCGAAAAAACGTTCTGCCAAGCACTTTTCAGTTGAAGACAAAACTGGCATTTTAAATATCTTCAAGGCATATTCGGAAGACAACCCGGAGGTATCTAAAACGGATAAAGTTGAGTTTACGGCTAAAGCAGCAGGTAATTTTCATCTTAGGCACATTCATTTTTACTTATTATTGTGTAATTTAGGTGTAAGCATTCCGAGTGTCTACAAGATTCTTCGGGAGTATACAGAGGTACACGAACTTCATTCACCTAAAAAATATTATCGACCACGAGCAATTTTGGACAATATTGATTCCGGAACTAAAAGTATTCTTCGACGTTTGCTTCATTCTTTCTTTGAAAGAAATGAACCACCTACCCTGAGTAAAGTTTTGGCAGTGTTACACGAAGACGAAGACTTACCCCATTTGAAACGAACTACTTTATGGAAATTAATAAAAGAAATAGGTTTTCGGTCAGTAAACCTTTTTTCTTTACGTGTATGTATATTATGTACTTGTCATTGTAGATTCGAAAAGAGGTCACGCAATAGTGTTCTTAGGGAAAAGGACGAAATAATTACTTGGAGGCGTCGGTTCTCGCGTGAAATTAGAAAATATCGTGAAGAAGGTAGGAAGTTGTATTTCCTAGATGAAACTTGGGTGAGTGCTGGGCATACTGTAAGCAAAGTATGGAAGGACACCACAATTCTCACTCCAGGACAGGCATTTATCAACGGGCTATCAACTGGATTGAAAGATCCATCGGGCAAAGGAAATCGCCTTATTGTTCTCCATATAGGGTCCGAGGATGGCTTCGTCGAGGAAGGTTTGCTGTGTTTTGAATCGAAGAAAACAGGGGATTATCACGAAGAAATAACCAGTGAAGTTTTTGAAAAGTGGTTTATGGAAATCGTTACACATCTTGATGAACAATCTGTGATTATAATGGACAACGCTTCATATCATAGCAGGAAAAGTGAAAAAAATACCAAACACCAGTACGAAAAAAGCTGATATACAAACTTGGTTAACAAGCAAATCGATACCTTACGAAGAAGATATGGTAAGAGCTGAACTTCTACAGCTTGTGAAACGGGCAGCTGTTACACCAAAATATGTAGTTGATGAAATTGCAAAGGAACACAATCGTACCGTGCTGCGATTGCCTCCATATCACTGCGAATTGAATCCAATTGAACTGATATGGGCGCAAATAAAAGGTGAAGTGGCCAGAAACAACACCACATTTAAAATGAAAGACCTTCATCCACTATTTCAACAAGCAGTGGAACATGTTACTGCTGAAAATTGGAAGAACGCAATTCGCCATGCTCAAAGTGAAGAGGAAAAAATGTGGCAAATTGACATTTTAATGGACATCGTAGTGGAGCCATTAGTAATTCATGTGGGAGATGACTCGACATCAACGGAGTCCGAATCCGAGTGAAGCGATACAGGATTTAAATTGTTATGTACCTTTGTTTATATTCACGTGCACTTGTAATTTCAAAACTTTGTGCTGCTGTAATAATACTTTTTTGTACTTTTCTCAATATAAACAGTGTTTTTATGTTGCATATTTACATGTATTTAACAGTTTGCAGAGGTTTTACTATTTTTGCCACGAGTTATGTTCAGAGAGATAGCGCCATAATTAGTCTTGAGCAAGTGACATTTCAATTTGATTTCTCAAATTTTCCGCTTTTTATAATTTTGTGGTTGTAAAACTGGTTGCTGCTTACATTGGCCCAAATTTTGTAGGAGTGGCTTAACTATTTCTGTTGGGTGAACGAACTTTAACACTATTACTCAACTCATCTGAACCAAATTTTACTCACATTAAGTGAGAAATGTAGTAGTAATAGTTTTACATGGGTTTTAGCAGAGGGAGAGGGGTCGTTTTCACCCCTAAAAAATGAAGAGCGCCCATCGGTATAATATTTTGAAGTGGAGGGTAAGTTAAACTTAATCCCAAATTTTCATGCAAATCGATGCATTTTGAAAAAATTGCCAGATTTTATACTATTTTCAGTTACGTTTCCTGGACTAAGTATATCACCTATAACCTTTCTATACTCTGTTTTTTAACTAGGAAGACGGATTTAAAAACCTGATTTACACTGAAAATGTCACTAGAATCTAGTAACAAAAATAATAGACTCATTTTATACAGACATGTATTGTGTGTTGCGTGATGTGTTTTTCTTTCACATTTGGATAGATTTCATTATTTACGTTTTTGGGTTATTATTTGATAGGAACTACTTTATATTATGCATACATCACACTTTTAAAAGCGAATTATAATACATAGGTAATACATTGATAATAGGTAATAATGCTGCATACATTTTTTGACCTTTGAAACATTGTTTTGAATTGTAGTTTTAAATGTTTTATCAGTTGTAATACTACACAATCCACATTACAATTTACAACAAATATTAAGTTATTGAACAAATTCAGAATAATGGAATTATATTCATATTATTAAACAGGGCAGTTCACTGTTTTGTGTATAAGCGATTTAGACACTGTCTTCCGAAAGTTCACTAAAACTGTCACTGTCCTCCGATCCGAGTGAAATAATTAATGGTTCTATAAGTGTATCCATTAGGCCATCCAATCTACACATCTTACTTTCTTCCTTAATAACGTGTTGCACACAATTCCGCCAATCGTCAGAGCACACATTTGCAACAGCTTTATGACCATCGGGACGTTTCGAAGGGGTATCAATCCCAGTACTTCGATCTTCTTTAATTATCCGGTATACTGTAGATCGTGCAATTCCTAATATGTGTCAAACTTTAATAACCAAATATATACCTACATCATTATTTACGTTACCTGTGGTAGATGCAATCTTCAACACAAGCATATCAAAATTCATATTCCGAGTATCAGATAACATTTGTTTATAAGTGTTTATAATAAACTGCTTCTCGGAGACTGATAAATTGACCCAAGTTTAAGCGACTACGTTTTTTCAAAGGAGACAAGCTTGCTTTACTGGTACTTGGAGTTGAACCCATCACCAATGCCAGTACACTTAGGACGCGAAATATCAACTTTAGTTCTTAAAAGAACTGTTTTATTTTGTTAAAATTTATGCAAAAGGACTCAGAACACACGAAAACTCAAAAATAAGTACAACAGTTAAGGACGAGAATCGCGATTAAATTTGACAGTTAAATTATGTCAATAGCAATTTTACCTGGGTGTAAAATGGGCGCAGCGTGAGCCAATAGAAACTAAGATTTTTGCGGGAACTTTTAAATCCGTCTTCCTAGTTAAAAAACAGAGTATAGAAAAATGATTCTACGTAAATAAGTGGACCATGCAATAAGAAATGTACAACAGACGTGGTCAAGATCAATATTTCGCTTTTTATAATTATAACCCAGATGCATGCCCGCCTGTAATTAAAAGCTCTTAAGCTCCGCATACCATTTAAGCGGATTATTCAGACACTTTTTAATGTAAATTTGTGAACGTCCATTAAACCTGATATATTTGCAAATTTGCAAAATATTATTCTACGCACCTGTATTGAGAGAAACAGCAACCTTCTATCACAAGAATTTAAGCTTACACGATGCTATCAAACTGCCCATAATAGGTAATTACGCAAAACATTTACATATGGAAATCCAGAGTTTATGTAAACCAAACCAAAACGTTTAATGCATTTATTATTCACCGCTCAGTTGCTTTCCCGTAGATATATGAAAGGAGATGTTTCGGTTTCTGCAGTTAATGTCATTCAAAGTTCAGTAATGATTGAGAATGTTATGCAGGTTCCCGAAATGGAAATTGAGTAATATTTAATACCCATATCCTGAAACGGGTCCATTAGATTCTATTTAAGGGTAGAGTGTTTTACATAGTGTGTACAAATGTTCCAAATCCCATAAAGGCTCTAAATGAGGAATTATTTAAACGAGTGCCTTGGTAGGTAGTAATAAATTTACGTGGTCTGGGACTGTCTATTTATACAGTTCGCGAAACTCGAACGTCCGCTCCATTAATAATCTATTGCGAAGGACTGTGTAGCTGACGCCTGTAAGGGTAAAAGGTGAAAAATATTTTAAGTTTATGTGGGGAAACGTTATCGGTATTAAACAGTCGCAACTTTGTAGTCCTAAAATCCAGTTCCGTGTTTTAAGATTTAAACGTTTTCGCACTTGGAAGAACAAAACTTTTCCCTTCTGTCTCAACTAACCGTTACGGGACGAATTCGTTTTATTCAAATTTTTTGTATTTAAATAGAACGACGCGAGCAGGCTAGGTACGTCTTGTCTTGGAATTTATTTAACTAGCGGTAGCTGTGTCTGGAATACAAAATGTGCGACGTACAGACGTACTTCAATATTCCAAATATATACTCAGCGGGTCCCGACTAAAAATTAAGAATTTACGACATCTGGGTATAGCTTACACAATCACTGTGTATACTCTCACAAGCCGGATGTATTGTCTTGTGTGTGGATGGCTCTATTTTCAGCAATCCTGTTAAGCATTATATGATACCTTGCTAAAATTTGAAGTAAAACAATGAACAATTTCAATGCCACTTCCTATAAGAGATCAAAGCTCTTAAATTCGCTGTAATTTAAGTTATTTACAAGACAAAAGACGAGAGTACCAAATACAAAACCGCATTTTAATTATTCTGCTGCCTGCTCGGTTTCTCAAAAATCAATTTCGGTGTAATCCGGTACCAATGTCATCAAACGCAACGACCCGTGGCGACGTAAGCAAATGGACAAAGAGTAAATCAAAGATATTTATGTTGCAACTTTTTCATGTTCAAATAAAATGCGAAAAACGTCAAATCCAGATGCGAAAGACGAGAAATTGTAACTTTAACTTAAGGGCGCTGTAGGCTTGTCGCAAATGGGCGAAACGAATTCGCGATTGGATGTCATTTTTTTTCCTTCCCCGAAGCAAAACGAAATTACCATAAGCTATGTTTGTCTTCATCAGCACAAAAAATTTATTTTACGGGAATGACGCGAGATCGTTACGAAAAAAATCCTCACGTACGGTACGCGCGAAAAGTTTCTTCGTTCATTTTTTAATGTGATCATATTCGGGAGAGACTTTTCTTATAAATCATACCAAAAAAATATTGTAATCAATCTAACAGAGCATTAACGTCGCGTCGCTCCAGTCCCCGGTAGGACAGATGAGCGGTAATTCATCATCAGTAAGTCACCCTTTCAGTTATATTCTAGAATTAAATTTGTAAGTTACTTACAATTCGATGGTATATACACGTATTTGCATTACAGCAAACCGAAGGTGCAATCTGTACCTCTGCTTGTTGCTTCCAGTCAAAATACAGTGCGTCAAAATTTGCACTGGCTGAGTGAAATAGGTATTTCCAAGGTTCTCGGATACCATAAACGATACGACGATGGTTAAATTAGGGAAAAATTGCGCAATTAAATGTATCTGCCCACTACAACGTATCTGACCATGACCGTAATAAGAACGTGTCAGGAAAAAAAATTGTTTGCATTGAAAAGTATGAGACTATGCCCATTAGACCGTTTTCCGTGGAGTGTTACTTTCGGTGCCTGATACGATGTGGTAGGTACCTTAAACTATTTTCATGCCGTGAAGAAAACCAGAAAATTCCGATTACATCCGAGAAAAACCGAAATTTGCCGATTTTGTTTCTATTTTCTTTTAATGTTATTTGAGCTGATACAAGAAATTAATTTTTTAAGATTTTCAATACAACGTTTCGTGTCGGAAAAATCATCATCAATGTACGACACACAAAAAAAACAAAAGTTTCCAAAAACGTACACCCGCATACAGCGCCAATAGCTACTGGACGAATCCATGTTCCACGAAGTTTGATAGACATGTATATTGACATAAACCAAACTTTTCAATGTAGAAAAAAAGGAAACAATATTACTTAATGTAAAAACATTCAAGAAAAAAATTCGGTAAAGTAAAACAAAATTTAGAGAGTTGGTGTACGAAAAATAAGTACA